TAATCATTATTAATATTATTTAAAAAAAATCTCATTTTTAATTCTAGGGCCAATTTCAAACACTCAAATTAAGCTGAAAGGACTAAAAATATTCACTAAAATATAAAATGTTAGTGTTGCTCACATATCATTTGACTGCCTGAAAATGCGTATGCCCAATTTTATTTTATTTAAAAATCCCTACTAATTTGATTAGAAAAGCAGATTGCATGGATTATTGCTTTATTACAGCACAACTGCAAGTTGGATATGGCTGAAGTAAACAATCCGAGACGATTATAAGGAAAATGTACAAACAAAATCCCACTTAGTCTTGGCTTTGCTTCTCTGAAAGGCAAAAATGTGATTTATTGAATAGCTCGCTTTGGGCAATTCACTGATTTCACGGTTTGCAAACGATAGTGCAGTTAATTCTAGATCAGAACATAAGTTTTACATGGAAAATGACTGAATCCCTCAGGCTTGTTTTTGATTAATTTGAAATGAAAACATTTTGTATGAACATTTGAAAGGGATTGCAGTGGAGAAATAGCTATTTTCTTTTTCTTTCTTTTTTTTTTGTGCGTTTCAGGGTTTTATGGTCATATTGCCATGTAGTGTGTTCCTGTGCGTTTTTCAGTTGTGTGTGTGTGTGTGTGTGTGCAGTGACGTACACACAGCAGATCTGGGACCACAGGCAAGGGCGGATGTGGGTCCTGTAAATATAGCAGAACTAGTTAGTGTTGAGGTGTTTATTTTTTGTGTCAGTGTAAGTTGAATATTTTAAAAAGATAAATAATGAGTATTATCTATTGTGTTTCATGGTACATAAAGAAAATAATGTAGTTTTATCTTACATTTCAAATGCTTTATCTCTATGGCTTCTGCAAAACTCCCATTCCATTTTATAGATTTGTCAGTACAAAATGCAATAAACGAATACCATTTTATTACGGATTACATGATCGAGTCTTTATTCCAAGCAGGTTTTCAAAGGTTCAAAATCCTGGTCCTGAGATTCTTCAATGCACCACATTTTGGATGCCATTTATAGTACACACCTGAATAATATCATCAGCTCATTAGTAGAGACTCAAAGACTTCAACTGCTGTGATTTAATTACTTTTCTGAGGAGGTTTTACTGTGAAAACTGTAAGCTAAAGAACTGGAATTGCTGAAAATATCCAAACAAACGTCTAGACTAACGAGTAAACCTCACTGTTGACTAGTTAACCATCTTGAACCCAGTTCCCTCTCATGTTGGGGAATCTTAAACATTTCTCAAAGTCAATTCTTTTTTAAATTTTCTTTGTTTATTGGTGCAAAGGCAATCGATTCAAGATGTCTCAGGAAAGTGTTCACAGAAGTCCTCTGGCCTTCCTAAAGAACATTTGTGGCTGGATTTTGGAGCAGAGACGGTAAGTGTTGAGAAATACTTCCTCTGTGAAATACTGTTTATATTTGTTTAAACAGATTCACATTCTAGTAATAGTGTTTTAATTAATATTGCCAGTTTTTGGTTACCTTTAAACAACAAGGTTGAATTTGGCATTTAGTGTAAACCAGGCATAATCAGCAACAAAAAAATTTGTCTGCACTAAAAATGAAAATGGTGCACAATGCCAATCAATCACAGCCATTTAATATAAGGTCACGTGGAGCAGGATTTTGGAGCAATTGATATTTCACCGAGAGCTTGGTTTACAGTGCAGCGTGCTCTGCTTTATATGATAACGTTTGGAAAAATATAGCATGTCGTCTTGGGTATTGCATGCACACAGTGTGGCATGCTATTTCTGCAGCATAAATACTAAGCAAAAACTTATTGACATGGAAGAACATGCTTGATCCCATCAATTAAGGCTGGAATACACTACTTAAAATCTGAACAGATTTTAAAACACTAAGCATCATACACTTGCAAATTAGAAAAATGCTGCAAAGAAAAACTCGTTACTAAAGAACTTAAGTTGTTCTGAACACTCAACATGCGCCTTGTTGCTACACTTAAAAATAAAATAACTAAAAACAGGTTTTCGCAGCAATACAATAGAAAAACCATTTTTGGTTTCTCAAAGCACCTCTTATTAACGGTTCACCTTTTTTTTTCCTTAGTGTGAAGAACATTTTAATAATCTTAAGAACCTTCACCCACTATAAAGAACATTTTGTGAAATTGAAAGATTCCATGGACATTAAAGGTTCTTTATGGAACCATCAATGCCAACAAAAAACTTTTATTTTTAGGAGTGCAGAGAAAGTTTGCATAAAAATTTTCCAATGGTGGGGTTTGCCAAGTGTTTGGTTCTGAATTTACAGATGAGTGGGTTAAAAGTTCATCATAGAACCATCAATGGCAATAAAGCTTTATTCTAAGAATGCAGTAGACGCACGACAAATTAAAATCCGTTTTAAAATCAGTTCAAAATATCAAACCTGTCTAAAATTCAGTCTTGGAAGTTTAAAAAAAAAAAAAACAATCTGTGCCCATCATACACTACATGACTTTCTGTGAGATGTCACCTTCAACTGCCCAAAATCTCTAGACTGGCTTTGACTTTCCACAACTTTGCATCCAGACTGCAAATTAAGAGAAAATCTGTTTATTTCAGCCTTAATAGGTAGGACACAACTATTCTGGAGAAACAAATTCAAGAGACAAAAAATTCTTTATCTAAAAATGAATTTATTAAGTCAGAAGTTGGCTGGTATATACAATGCACCAATTCCATATAAAACAACAGAAATTCTCTCATTTATTGATGCATTAAACAATCAATCATGCTCTGTAAAGGTTAGATGAGTAAAAAACAAAAACCGTAAAACCAGAAAACTATGACTTCACAGAAAACTCGTTTTTTTTTTTATCACAAATTACACGGGAGCAAAAAAATAATAATTTATGATAATTCAGAGCAATGCCGACTTCTCGATTCGTATCAGATCTATTCATTTCAGTAATGGCGGGAATAATGGGATATGGGTGATGGATCCATGCTTTGGCCCATTCCCTGTGCTGACCGGATCCCTTGACCCGCACCAGATCCCATATTCACCAAGTGGTTAATGGGTCCGCTCTGGATGAGCGTATCCAATGCTTTCTGCACGCTGGGGTTGTCAAAGTTGATGCCAGTGCCTGTGGTGACTGCCGGTCTCGGGGCGCCTGTCGGCCCGGCCATACGAGCGCCAGGAGGCCTCAGGGCAGGCCGAGGGTTCATAATGCTGCTCTGCGGCTGGACAGCAGCGATTTTGGGCATGCCGGTGGCAGCGGGGGCTGCATGAGAAGACTGGAGTCCGGCAGTATGAGGGCCGAGGCTGGAAGAGTAACCCTGCATTTGGGGCGCCAGAGTGGGGCTGGACACTGAAGACGTGCCGCTGCCACTGTTGAAGATGCTGAGGATCTTAGCCTGGAGCTCCTGCTGTTGGTTGGGGGCGGCGGGGGCGGACGCAGGGGTCAGGTGGGTGGAATGAAGGGGCAGGCTGGTGTATGCGGGCTGAGCTGGAGCGGATAGAGGCTGTGTGGGCTGAGAAGGCTCGTGGGTCGCTGGTGGAGGGTGTGCAACTAGAGAGAATAAAAACAGTGAAGGGTAAGCCTTGAGGTGTAAAGCGTAATACAACATTGAGTTTAAAATGCCTTATGGAGTTACCCGTGTCAGTACTGCCTCGGACAAGACGATCACGTTTGTCTCTCAGATAGTCAATTAGCCTGGCCAACTCATCTGAAGACATAAACCTGAGAGATGCAAAGATGATCCATTATATTTGACACTTAACACCAGTAAAATGTCCTGAGTTTCAATGGCAATTTCAATAATGCAGCAAAAAAAATGCTACTGAAGACAAGTAAAAAAAAAAATCCATATTTGCATTAACAGAAATTCAAACAAATGGCATGTAATCTTAAGTGAACACCGTTAAAAATATTTTCCAGCTATTAAGTAAACAGAAACGCATTACAAAAATAAAAAATTAACAGTCCTAAGTTAGTCATTTTTGTTATGCTTTTATTTAGCAAGGCTGCATTAAATTGATCAGAAGTGACAAAGGCATTTATAATGTTACAAAAGATTTCTATTTCAAATAAATGCTGTTCTTTTGAACTTTGTAGCCATAAAAAAAATTGATTTCTACAAGAGAAAAACTTTTCAACATTGGTAAACAAAAAAAAAGTTTCTTAAGCAGCAAATCAGCATAGAATGATTTCTGAAGGATCATGTGACACTGAAAACTGGTGTAAGGGTCTGTTTATACAGAATGCGTTTTTCCATTCCACTGTGCTACTTTTCCATTGTTGTCTAAACACACGCTAGATGGACGTGTATGACCGTTGGGCTCGCGTCTCATGTTTTCTGCAGCGTATTTAAGATGCCGCGTCAAGTTAAAGAATTTCAACTTTTACATGCCGCACCGCTCATCAACATTTTAAAAAGCATTTTAATGTATTTATGATCAATTTATCATATTTAGCAGATTTACCAAAAAAAAAAATCTTACAGACCATAAACTTTTGAATGCTAGCATTTGTTGGCCTACCTGCCCTCGGACAGCAGCGTGATGTGGGTCAGAAGGGAGGCAGGGTGACCTTCTCTGTCAGGTTCCCTCATCAACACCTCATCTGCCATCTTGGCCGCCTTCGTCGCTAACTCGTCCCTTTCTTTAGCACGGTGTTCAACTTTAAAAGAGTCAAAGTTGTGGGCCACCAGCACCATGGCATCCTGCATGGGCATGTTCCTGTGCTCTGCAACAAGAGTATGCTGTGGTCATCCAAAATGTAGATTATAACTTATATAGTGATGTGCGAACATCTGAAATATTGTACTGCAATCTCATATCAACACTGGGCTGGTTTTGAGTAGTTGTGGTGTTTAATTGCATTGGATTTTCCCAGCTTAAAGCTGATGAGCAGGTGAACTGGCTTATATTATCAACTCTTTGTGGAAGGACACACACCTTGCGGAGTCCCAAAGAGGATGTTGACTGTACAGGAACGGTGTACTTGGTGCTGCTGGGTGATGATGATGGCAAAAGGTGTACGAGCCCGACTCACATCCTCCAGAGCTTGGGTCAATGACACTTCTGTATTCAGGAAGATGAGATCCACCACCATACCCAGATCCCGAACCTTCCTGCCCACCGTCTCGGCATATTCCCTGCACACAACCGCAGAGCAGAAAGTGTAACAGGCTCTCCAATAAAACAATTGATGTTTTAATCACTTCAAGAACATAGTCACAGGACTCACTTTTGCAGCTTGTTGACGACTATGACGGAACAGTCCACTGGTCTTTCAGCATCATAGCGCCTCTGCAGCTCTTCATAATATTGCCGGTAAAGTTCGTTTCTCCGGCGCTCTTCTGGACGCACCCGCTCCTCTGTAAATTCAGAACCAAACACTTAAGTTTTCACATATACTCCTCCTCTGCTCCCTCTATGACCAAAACTGTGTGCATGTGAAACTTTGGTTCGCTTTAAACTAACCCACTGAATTACCAATGCTGCTGACAATGACTGTTAGAACAAATAGTGTAACCAATACTTGGGAGAAACTCCATAGAGAACATTTCATTATATTTAAATATTTTAAGGATTTTTAAGATTTTTGCATTGTGATATTTTCATTCACACAAAATTCCCATAATCTTAATGCAAAAATAACAAAAAGTGTTGCAGTAGTATTTATTCCACTGCATAACAAAAAGAACTTTGTAAGAAAAAGAGTTTATTCTAAAAAAAATTATTTTAGAATCCTTGATATATTACAGTTTTATATAGGGCTGCACGATTAATCGAAATTAAATCGCAAAGGTGATAAATCGCAATTAGGCAGAAGCTGCGATTGTCATGCATATCTTTCAGTGAAGCACGGTTCTGTGATCAGCAGTAAATCTCCATCCGAAGGCCAGAGGGCGCTCTCGCGCTGAAACTCCAAGTACGCCTCGCAGAAGAATCCCAGAAAATCCCTATAGCAGTTGCTGAATAAACAGAAGATTTAACTGCTCTCATTAATTCAACGCATTCAACGTGCCTTATTCTGTGTAAGAAGCCACATCATCTCACAGAAGGATTTATTTCAAACACTCGGCTGACGTTATGAAGTGAGTTTGGAGTAAAAACATGTTATTAAATGTGGTATTTTAACGTGCATTCAGATGGAGCAGCATTTACTACACAGAGCCGTAGTTCACTGACAAACTACGCAAACGGCTTTCATAATCGCAGAACGATTTCTTCGATTTCATAATCGCGTGATTAAATCGTCTGCGATTATGAACGCGATTTTGCGTAGCTTGTCAGTGAACTACGGCTCTGTGTAGTAAATGCCGCTCCATCTGAAAGCACGTGCTGGAGATTTACTACTAATCACAGAACCGGCTTTACTGACAAGATGCGCATGACAAATCGCATTCGATTAATCGTGCAGCCCTAGTTTTATATTTTAATTTTATATTATCTGTTTTGACTTTAATACAGTTAGTTTTAGTAATTGTTTTTGTCATTTATATTATTTTTGGTTTTAAAATATTGCAACTAGGTGAAATAATAATTTCAAGTTTTTTTACTTTTATATTACGGTTATATTATTTAAAGTAACAAAAGTTTTTAAATGAATTTAACTATAATAACTCTGGTCACAATGCAAAAAATTACTGATCTTTAAAATAGGTCATAAAAATAATAAAAATAAAAAAATGTATCTTAATTTTCTTTATGAAGTAAATCAGCTTTATATTATGGTTGTAAACAATTCAACCAACCCTCAGACTCTCTCCTGCCATTCCAGGGTTCCCTGTAGCGCTCAGGGTATGGCTCCTCTTTCTTCCGATAACAGTCATACTCTCCACGGTAATAACGATCATACCCTTCCACTCTGTGGAAGCACAGTAATGTTGTTTAGATGATGTTACAACACAGGAAAACAAGAGCTATAAATGCACAACTACAAAACCGCTCAAATGTATTGTGAGTGCACCTGTAGGAAGGATCTTTCTCCCTGCTCTCTGAGCCCCTGTATCGCTCATCGGGCGGCCCTCTAGCATCATGCTCCCGAGGTGGACCGGGACGCAGCTCACGGCTATCGCTTCTCATCTCTCGACTGTCACGGTGGTCTCGAGAATCTCGCCCATGCACTGGGGACCGAGAACGGGGACGGGGCTCTCGACTGTCCCCGTAAGAGCTGGCTGGCCTGAACAGACAAAATACACTCAATCAACACATGCCAACTAAACACTTAACCCCTAAAACTAACAGCTCTATTAGACAACTCACTGAGAGAATTTTACCATCAAGTACTTAAAAGACATTATGTTAGTGAAATGGTAAAAACAAAGAACACAGTAGGTAGGCAAATGCAAATTATTTTTACCAGAAAATCAATTAAGTGCTTTCAGAGTTAGTTTCAGAGTCCTGTTGCCAGAGACCACAGACATGAGAGGGTAGCGCCGAAAATTAATCTTACCGGTCGCAAAATTCACATCATTTCTCTTATAAAACATACCTTTGCAAACTCTGAATATAGCTCTCCAAAAATGAATGTCATGGGAAAGATGTCGAACATTATCTTTTGAAGTAACCATGAAAACCAGAGTCCATCCGTTAGTTTCCAAAAGTTACTTTTAAGTCAAATGAACAGCAGGTTTCAGGATAAAAATGCACTTTTATTACATTTTGTCAGCATTATTATTTTGTTTGGTCAGCAGCATTATTTACGATTTGTTTTAAGCATAAAAGTTTTTAATTTTAAAACCGCTTTAAGATAAACCAACGCAATGAACCGCACTGTTCCACGACTGCAAAATAATTAGTCTCATTTTCTCTGAAAGACAAACACCAACCTCCAAAAATAAACAACGCATCCAACAATTGAATGAACTGCTTAAATTAGTTTTAATTGTTTCCATCCCACTTGAGTACATGAAATAATTCGGTTTTTGATCATGTTTTAATGCATTTTAATATTAAACAAACTTCTGAAGTGAGTGTTAATTGGAGTTTCGAAAACGACTCCAGCAGGAAGCAGCGACTGTCAGTGGACAATTTCGAAAAAACCGTGCATAGTAAGTGAACAGATTGAGTACCACACCGTTTAGACAAAGACACACCAAGGGGAAACGTACTCAAATGACCCTTTCAACTTTATTTCAGTTAATTCTGACACAACTAAAAGTGATGAAAAGGAAAAAAAAATAGAACAAACTAAAAACCGAAGAGCCACGAGAAAGATAGTCCGAACCGTTTTTGCGCACTCAACAATGATATTTATGCATTTTAGAACTTTTGATGAATTCCATTGTGGAGGGAAAAACGTTTACCAAAATTCTCGATAGAGGTCGTCTTCATTAGCAAAAATCCCAGCGATACTTTACCTGCGTGGAGGGCTTGACCTGGCTTTATTCTGTCGTCTCTCCGCTGCCATATTTACATCTGCAAATAAACCAATCCAAACTTTCAATATGACAAAAGACGGAAATATTTCAGAGCCAAACGAGTTTTTCTTTTACTCAAGAGGATGAACATTTGACATTCTGCATCAGATGAAAATAGACAAGTTGTGTCTAAATTATAAACATTTCCAAAATTTAAATAGCAGTTGAAAATTAAGTACTACACTGATGGGGAATGAGCAGCAAAGGATCTTGTGAACCTGTGCATCATGTGTACGACAGTATTTGACATTCCCAGCTGTAAACACTTATTAAACACCTCTCAAATTAGACCTTATTAGACCACTAACAATAACTGCCGCTTTGGACAAATGGAGTATAGAGTACAAATTATAGCATTAGCAAATCAAAAAATGCCATAAATACAGATACTATTGTATAATTTTAATTATACAGTCAAGAAGATTATAATTGCAGCAGTCAAAAAGAACAAGTGAAATGGGAAAACATGGGATCTGCATATTAATTCATTTCAAAAAGTCACAGGACACCAATATAACATATTTGTAAAACGTTCCTTTGGATTTATAGCCTCTATTTATACCTTTACATGTACAAAAATTCAAGACTGAATGCTTAAAGAAAAAAAAATTAAACTTAAATATGCAATTTGCATAAGGAACATATTTAAGGTAAAGTTTGGCTTTATTAGATTCAGCATATTGGAGTTATTACAGTAATACAATTAATTGGTCCTATGATTTAATTCTCTTAAGCTAAAATTTAAAACTTGATGTAACAACTCCCCAAATCACTCCAGTGTTTAATACCAAATCAGACCTTACCTAGTTTATAACCTCTATAAATTCGGCCGTTTTGTCCGGCTTTAGCGGCCTCAGCATCCTCCACTCGCTCAAACTGCACAAATCCGTAGCCACGAAACAGGGACAAAGCTGGAAAAGGGAACAATCATTTTCGTTTTACGCAAAAAGACGCTTTTTGGTGGATTTTTGGCCTTAGCTTCCCTTGCTTTTTGCAAATCGCAACCAAAGCTTTTAGACCGAAGTCTAAAGAACTGTGGGTTAAAGCAGTTAAAACTGCAGCGAACACTATGAAATTTCCCGAAACGTCTAAAAAGGCTTTGAGTTTGTACGCTACTAACCCTGTATTTTCCCATATGGCCTGAACAGATCCTCCATGTCCTTCTTCGCCATGTGTGCCGTGGGCAAATTTCCGACAAAAATCCGTCGCTCCAGCTCACGAGGGTCATTGCTGTTGGTGGTGTACGAGGGTGGCGTATTACTCCGGCTTCTTCTGTGCGACATGCCTCTACGATCTTTAGGTTCAATGGCCGTTTTTCAAGGAACGCTTGCAGTTGATTTTAGTTACAAGACTATTTGATTAGCTATATTTCCCCCAAGGTCTTGAAATTGACGATGCATCGACATGTAAGAAAAGAGAGATTCCAGAGGTAAAATAACTGGGCAGAGTAAGAAAACACCGCAGAAGTCAACATGAAATCAAAATCGACCATATTTACTTCATTAAAACATCTTGATATCTGAATGTAGATTGGTTGATTTGAACATTATTAATTTTCTAATTGAATACCCCATTTCATTCTAAAATACTGTGCCAATCTAGTTTCATGTTGACTTTAAAGACAAACTTGAGAAACTTCACAACAAGTAGAATTTCTAAGTGCAGTTTAATTCACATGCAGTGTTTTGCTGCCTGATCAATTGGCATATGAACACTTTACGGTCACTTACACCAAATAAATTGCTGAAAATAAATGAACTTTTTGGCTTAGTGAGGCCTTGATCGCAGGAGTCCTTGGATTTTGCAGCTGCACTTCAAGTCTCATGCAAAGATGCTCCTCAGATTGCCTTTTTTAAATGAAACACATTTCTCAAGTATTTGATGAAAGACTGTGGGTGAAGACGACAGGAAAACCTGTTGGAAAAACTGACCACAAACGGGTTTCCACAGAGCACGCAACGGAAAATATGCGAGCTTGTCGTTGAAGATAAGGCTTGTTCTTGGGGATAAACATAAAATGCTCCCCAAAAATTTCTTGCAGGTTGTCCAAAGTTTAAAATTTCGCTAACATCGCTATCCACAACATAGAGGCGACGCTTGATGAACCAGTCAGTAGGTCAACAAAAACACAGTGGACACTGGACATCATGGCTCAAGGAGTAACGTCAAATATTTGCCATTAGACCAAATTTTCCACTACAACGCACATCTGAAAGCAATCGTCACACAGTTTCTTGGCCCGCTTGTTACTGTGCATGTTTTCTTCACAGTAGTTGGACGGTAAGAGCTCACAGATGCTGTAGACTTTGTGGTCCACTTTGGCATTCTGGTGACATTTTAAGTTGCAAAACATGATATCATACCCTGAGTTTCCAAAGCTGCTCAATACCTTACCAGATGAATGCTGGTCGTTCCACCTAAATGATTTTGCACTTTTTCAGATGACTCTACCTCAAGAATATCAACTGCCAACAATGGAGAGTGAAAACATGAATTTTGGATTATAAGATATTATATACTATGTACTGTACTCTGAAAAATTAGAGATGGTAAGTGTGTACCAATATAGTAAAGTTTTGTAGGATTGTAGCATTTTCTATACGAATTTTCACAGGGAGAGTTCAAATGTTATAAAACTTAAAACTAAAGTCAATTCAAATAAAATGATCAAAACAGGATTTTATACATGTTTAATGTATCTTAGTGTTAGAATTATATATTTTGATGAACAGGCGTTGGACAACAAATAAAATAGGTAAAATATGAACTTAAATAAAACAAAAAATATTTCTTATGATTCAGTATTTTGGCACTCTATTACTACTTATAATATATTAATGCTTGAATATTAGACATTCAAGAAGTATGGCCCTGTAAAACACACCTGTTCTTACGGTCTCACATTGTTGAAAGAGTCAAAACAAACTGCTACTATGGAATTTCGCGCGATTTAGTATTTTAATAATCTGTTACACTGTCTATCATCCTCCATTGTCATATTTCCTCCACTTTTTATTATTAAAAAAGGCAGAGACAGTGAAAACTGGCAACAAGTGAAAATGGACAGCATATAAAATCCTCCTCGTCGGCGCCACAACAACCCTTCCGACATTTTGTGACCGTGTCGTGAGGTCACGCGAAATCAAACCGTGTAGAAGACCGCGCAAATGTTGCTGCAAACGACAAAGACCGCGTACTCCTGTGAAAAAAAAAATGCACACCGTGCATATTCCGTCCTTTTAAAAGCTGTAAGGAAAACCGCGCACACTTCGTCTAGTGTGGGATTCGATCAGGCGCCATGTTGCTCCGCACAGTAGACGCTCCGCTGCTTGAAATTCGTTTTTTTTTTTCAATCGTGTGCGTTCATGTTCGAGTTGAACGATTCAAACGTTGTGTTCTTACTACCAAAACCACATTTACGGCTTCCAACAATCAAAAAGAACAATCGATGCTTCGATTAACAGGGCAGCTAACAAGCTAGCTTAGCTTACATTTATAACAATGAATGCAGCTGTACAGAGCTCTAGAATTTTTGATTCCTAAGAAAGGTTTTGTCAGTTAATGGAAGCAAACTCTTACCGTTACCATGGGAACCTGGAAACTATCCTGCGATTTTCTCGCGGCGTCCTGTTTGTGTTAAACAATTAAAACGAAACTCCCGCTTGCAAAACTGCCGCAACCGTGCGGAACTTCTTCTTCTTCTTCTTCTTCTTCTGGTGTTTTATGGCGGTTTGGCAAACCAGCGAAATAGGTGCATTACCGCCACCTACTGATCTGGAGTTTGGAGTGTACATAAATTTGGAAGAAATACAGAAGGGAAAGGAAAAAAAATAAAATAAAAAAAAAACTAGATTCTATCTATTGTTCCTGTGTTTTTCAGGTATTTAAACATATTTTCTTGCACTCTTGATTGCCTCGACCCATTTCCTAACAATACTTTTAAAGAAATATTATCAACTCCCAGCCATCCTAATTCTTGAATTAATTGAAATCTCTCCCTTTCATATGCAGAACACTCAACAATAATATGTTTCACTGTTTCTAATTCTCCACATTTGTCACACTTTTCCGATTCATGCTTACCTATTTTATAAAGACTATAGTTTAATGTCCGATTCTTAGTCTTGATAAGATGACATCTTTCTTCCTATTTCCGTATCTTTTCCTCTCATTTCCAACACACTCCTGAATCTGGAAAAGATGTCTTCCTTTAGACCCATTATTCCATAACTTTTGCCATTTCTTACTTACTTCAAATGATATCACTCTCTTGAATTCAGCTTTACTTAAAGCTAACTTAATTTCTATTTGTGTATGATTTAATGCTTTCTTTGCTAGCAAGTCTACTTCCTCATTTCCATCCACACCCACATGTGCAGGCACCCAGAGGAATCGTACCTCTATCCTTAACTGCCTTATTCTAAACAAACTTTGTAAAACTTCAAATACTAAGTCTTGCCGAGCTTCAGATTTACCACTTAGTAGGCTAGTGAGCGCAGCCATTGAGTCAGTACATATCACAGTTCTATCTGGTTGAACTTCTTCGATCCACTGTAGAGCTAGTATGATAGCTAATAATTCGGTAGTAAAAACTGACACATGATCTGATAATCTTTTAGCCATTTTTATTTTAAAAGTAGGAATATAAACTGCTGCTGCTGTTCTCCCAGACTCTGGCTCCTTAGACCCATCTGTAAATACCTGTAACACAGAATAATACTATTGTTTTACATATTGTTGAACTCCGTGCGGAACTGCGAGTTTCTTAGAGACTGTGTTCTTCTTCTTCTTCTTCTTTCCAGTTTAACGGCAGTTGGCATCCAGCTTATTGGTGCATTACCGCCCCCTTCTGCTCCGGAGTGTAATAGAGACTGTGTTGATGACGCTGTTTCCAAAATAAAAGTACCAGTTCTAATGTTCCTTTGTAAACAACGATTCCGGTACAAATAATTGTCTTTAAAAAAAAAAAACAATCCTTAGCTTCCATTTAGACCGACTTGCAAATAAAAAATAATACATTTAGAAGTACATAGTATCTTAAAAATTAAAGTATGAATAGTAAACCTATTTTTTTATTTATTGTTGCATTACCTTCACAAAATTAGCACAAAAAGTGTTTTATAATGTATTTACAATACTGGCCTCAATATGAGCATGAAAACATAAATAATTCTTTATTTATAGGTTGTTTTCTTTGTTTTTAGAATAATTGACAGCTTAAATTTTGTTGCACTTTTATTTTGACACCGCGGACGAAAAACATCATGTGTCTTCATCACGGGAAAGTTGAAGTCACATGAATTTTGGGACTACTTAAACAATTTACTAGCCGGTGAACGTTTTTGTTCCCACACCTGGAAAGGTAAGACTAATACAACAATACTGTGCACAATTTTAATCTTTCTTTAGCTGAATAATATCCGTCCATGCGTCAGATTTTCACCGTCATTATAGGATAAACCCTCAATTTCCTGGTTAGTGCTCTGAGTTAGATGATTACCCTTTTGGTTTTTGGTGACCTCTTTGCTTCAGATTATTATAATTGATGAGTTTTCTTTTCTATAAGAAGGTTAAGTCCGTAACTGTGGTGTTTTGCTGTGCTTCAGATGCATCTTGTGCTGGTGTGTTTGCTGCTGGGGGTGCTGGAGGCTTCTGGGGCTCCAGATGCAGATGAGATCAAATATCTTCCTGGACTTTCAAAACAGCCCAGCTTCAAGCATTATTCTGGATACTTCAATGTGGCAGATAACAAACACCTTCACTACTGGTAAGCTGGACTGTCCGACTTTCACTTCCATTTAAAAGAATAGTTTTGAAAATTCTCATATGTAAATGTCCAACATTATTGTGTTCCTGTTGTTCAGGTTTGTTGAGTCTCAGAAAGATCCGGCCAATAGTCCGGTTGTTCTGTGGCTAAACGGAGGACCAGGATGCAGCTCGTTGGATGGTTTGCTCACAGAACACGGACCTTTCCTGGTGAGATTTTACAACACTTTTTTTTTTTTTTTTAAATAACTGCACTGATGTTTCACAATTAATTTTATTAAAATATTTAAAAGCATAAATGCTTTAAATAATGTGTTATCCCTTCTCTCTGGTTATTCACAGATCCAAGATGACGGTGCAACTCTAGAATATAATCCTTATGCTTGGAACAAGGTATGGTTTTTGACTTATACGCATATATAGCCTACATATACTTCAGCATTAATGAGTTATTTCTGTGGTGTGAAATGAGGAAGTCTTGGGGTCAGTTTCGGTAACTGAACTATGACACTTCCTCAAGTGACGTGACGTGACGTGACATGTGGCCAAGTATGGTGACCCATATTCGGAATTAGTGCTCTGCATTTACCCATCCAAAGTGCACACACACAGCAGTGAACACACACAAACCGTGAACACACACCCGGAGCAGTGGGCAGCCATTTATGCTGCGGCACCCGGGGAGCAGTTGGGGGTTCAGTGCCTTGCTCAAGGGCACCTCAGTCGTGGTGTTGAAGGTGGGAGAGAGCGCTGTACATTCACTCCCCCCACCTACAATCCCTGCCGGTACGAGACTCGAACCCGCAACCTTTGGGTTATGAGTCCGACTCTCTAACCATTAGGCCACGACTTCCCGGCCACGACTTCCCTCAAGCCAGTCACATGCTCTTATGGTTTTTTATTCTTGGCTGTAGCAAACCAGCTTTATTGTACTAAACATGGGCTGTTTTTCCAGATTGCAAATGTCTTATACCTGGAGTCACCAGCAGGTGTCGGCTTCTCCTACTCTGACGACAAGAAGTACACTACCAATGACACAGAGGTATGATTTAAATCATATTAAAGGGGTCATATAATGCTACATGCACTTTTACAAGTTGTTTGAACTGAAATGTGTGTTGGCAGTGTGTGCACACAACCATCTATGTTCGCGCAAATCATTCGTGATCCAGCCTCATCTACAGAAGAGGTGAGTGTAAGGTTTTTTTAATGAATCTTTGCAAATCGCCTTAACTAATAATGTGCTAATTAGCAAGTTTCACGATGAATGCAGCTAAAGTAAACAGTCTCTCTGAGAGTGGCTCGGACATGTGTTAAAAAAAATATATATATATATATGAGTATTTAATGGTGTGGCACAGATAATATTTAATTGAACTGTTTATGATCAAAAACCAAATTGATAACCGTATAATCGCTGACTTTCCAGGTGGCCACAAACAACTACTTGGCCTTGAAAGAATTCTTCAGGTTGTTTCCTGAGTTCAGCAAGAATGAGTTTTTCTTGACTGGCGAGAGTTACGGAGGCATTTACATTCCAACGCTGGCTGAGATCGTCATGGAGGACAGCAGCATAAATTTACAGGTAGGAGGGACTTTATTTTGACTGTATTGCCCATAAACAACACGGACATTGAGCCAGCAGAGTGTATGGCGTGTGTGTATTTGTGTTTTGTAGGGTATTGCAGTTGGAAATGGCTTGTCCAGTTATGAACTAAATGACAACTCACTGGTCTATTTTGCGTACTATCATGGACTTCTTGGGACCAGGTGTGATATTTATTTATTTATTTATTTTACCTCGTGACTCTTTTCGTGTGACTCTATTTAACAACTCTTTTATACATGTACTCTTATATATTGGTGCTTGATGTGA